CAAACTCATCTTAAAAGCTGCACAGCAAAACTATGCATAATATCAAAAAATGTCTTTAATATGTGTACTAGAAGGGTCTTAATATAATGTCTATCAAGTTTCTAGAAAAATTTCTAAAGAAATTTTGAAGGGGGGCCACCTACTGCCCAGAAACATGTCAGGCATGTTATGAATTAGCAGCAAACAGAAAAGCTTAATTCCTGTCCAGAAAAAGAGCAAAATTAAGCCAAGGTTCACAGCATAGGCTGAAAAATATTAAATTAGCTGAATCAGAAAAGAAATTACAAAGAAAAAATTGAATCTTATCTGGTTGAAGAAAATATGAGTAGCTCAAGGATGGGAAGTAAAATGTTGAGGAAGATGGTATTGAATAAGTATCAAAATTTTGAAATTGTGGAAATGTCAAGACTTGGCAAAACAATTTGAAATGATTTAAAATGTGTTGGTTGATCAGCATAAAGAAAACAGTGTCATCCTTAGAGGATTGAAAATCTACAAACCTATGTGCAAGACTGAGCATGAGAAGCAGAGGAAGGACAGAGAGAGAAGCTTATAGAAAGAGAGCTAATACCACTTAAGGAGCTGAATTTATCAAAAAATTGAACCTGCATGTTACGAGCCGCTGTGGTAATGAAAGCACCGTTGGCAGGCTTAGGCTGCATGTTACAAGGTTAGCAGATGCTTTATTACAGTGTAAATCTTAGAACCTGATTAAGAAATATGCACTGAGGTGTGTGGTCAACAGGCCTTGGTAGTGTAATTTGAAGAAATTGGTTGACTTTGGGTCATAGCTACAAGCCATACGGCACAATGAATGAGTGTGCGTAAGGAAGAGGCTTTTATTTTGTAGAGTCCCTTTAGTCTTATTTCGAAAGTCTATCATGGATGTGTGTCAAGGGAAGGGTCATGCCCAGCAGTGATATAGAATCCATTTCTAAATATGAAATCACTGGTTTTCCATGTTATTGGGTGAATAGATGCTGTATTAGAGCGTAAATGGGAGACTTTTATTGTGAAATTTGCTCTGGGGTATGTTTTGAAAAGGTCCCTAGAGTCAAATAGAAACAAGCTGGTAGAGTTTGGGTCATAATGCTGAGCCATTTCCATCAATTAATACGCAAGTATAATATAGAGGCTTTTATTGTGTAGGGTCACTGGAGTCTTATTTTGAAAGTCTAGCAGGGTTGTGTGTTGAGAAAAGGCTCAGACCCAGCAGTGATACTTGATGATTTTCCCATCGTTAAATCACTCTTTTCCCTTGTTATTAGGGCAGTAGATAAAGTGGCAATGGGAGGCTTTTATTTTGAAATTTTCTGTGGGGTGTGTTTTGAAAACCCCCTAGAGTCTAATTTTAAAAAAGTGGTTGAGTTTGGGTCATAATGTTGAGCCATATGCTGGGAAAAAAATATGAGTTTAATTTAGGGGCTTTTATTTTGAAGGGTCCCCGGAGTCTTATTTTGAAAGTCTATCAGGGTTGCGTGTGAAGGGAAGGGTCATGGCCAGTAGTCATATTGTATCCACTTCCTAATGTTAAATCAGTGTTGTCTCCCTCCATTAGATTAAAATGTGCTGTTTAAAGTGGCAGAGGTAAAATCCCTTTGAAGCTCGGTTACCTTGACAACGCTTAACGAGCCTGTCAGTGAGAGAGAGAAACGTGCTTCACTTTCGTTCCTTTCCTCTCAGGCTTTTTTGAATGGGAATATCAGAATATCAGACTGCTGAAGACAAACCGTAAATGGTATCTAAAAAATTCTTTCAGTCTAAGCGACAGCTATCCTTTGTCTCCAACTAGGGTAACTTTCATGGCTGTAGCTCATTCTCAGCCTTAATGGGAAGGAGAAATATAAAGGTTTATAAATCCTGCTGGTCTCATTAAATAACATGCAGCTCAATGGTAGAGCAGAACGCTCAAAAGCAAAACTTTCCCTGCGAACAAACGAGTGGTGAGCCAAAACCGTAAAAGGTATTCAAAAAATTCTTTCACCGTTGGCGTCAGCCATCCTTCGGCTTCGAATGTGCCAACTTTCATGTTTCTACTAAAAACTATTTGGCCACGGTGACGATGTAAAAATTTGCATTTTCTGAGTTTGAGGATTTTTCTCAGAATCAGCGTTTTCCTATGCCCGAACAAGTCAGCTAAAAAGCTAAACCATAAATGATATTGAAGAAATTCATTCAAGGTGAGTGCTAGAAGGTTTTGAAGATGTTGTATACCAAGTTTCATGTTAGTACATCAAATAGTTAAGAAATGGGAGCGATACGAAAATATGTATCGTTTTGGATTTTGTCTGTGATTTTTGGAAAATCTCTTATTTGATTTCTATTGGGGAAGTGTGGACTTCTTCATGGTCTGGGCCAAACTGTCGGAAAACCGTAAATGCCACACAAATGAGGGTTATATTTCCTGAATCCTGACAAAAATCCCTACGTTTTGATGTATAATTTATTTCAATTGAGTTAAAAATGAGGGACTGAGAAGAATTTGTTCGGAAAAACCAGAACAGCTCAAAAGCTAGAGCACGCACTCTAGCAGTTGAAGAATTCCGTCCATAGACTTCCATTATAAATCTGAAAATCTTAAAAATTTCTTTTAAGGTTTGAAGCTTCACTGAAGCAAAACTGTAAAACTTAGCAGAAAGCCGAGTTAAACAGTAATAGCAGAAAGATACGGAAACATTTTAATAGTTGAATGGTGTTTCTAGCTGAAAGTATGCTGAAGTAGTTAAAGGTCAAAGATGCTGAAGGTTTAGCTGAATTATGCTGAAATCTAAGAATTCTACATGCATTTATATGGGACAAAAAAAAACGCAGAAAAAGCTGAATAACGCGAAAACTACAGAAAATATCTTTACCAAAAGACATAGCAGAATTCTCCTGAACGAGCTGAACGTTTTGATACCAAAATTGTTGAAATCGGTTGAAAACTGCGGGACTAGTTAGAGTCAGAAAAATTTTAAGTGAACAACAATAAGTGGGAATGCATAAGCATTCCCACTTGATAATAAATAAAGAGAAACAGGATCTCAATAGTGTGAATGCCTACAGCATTCACACAATAAAGAATAAAGAGAAACAGGATCTCAATAGTGTGAATGCCTACAGCATTCACACAATAAATAAAGAGAAACAGGATCTCAATAGTGTGAATGCCTACAGCATTCACACAATAATAATATATAAAAAGAGGATCTCAATAGTGTGAATGCCTACAGCATTCACACAATAATAATAATAATATATAAAAAGAGGATCTCAATAGTGTGAATGCCTACAGCATTCACACAATAAGTGGGAATGCATAAGCATTCCCACTTATTGATCAAATGCACTTGATCAAATGTAATGATAGAAACCTTAGTCAGTTAAATAACCTGCTGCTGTCATTTTGCACATCTCTGATGTTGCTGCTATTTTCAAATATCCATTACTGTAGAAATGTCCATAGCTGCATGTTGGTTATTTATTCTCCAGTTTTATATTGTTAAAACACTTTACAGTATTTTATTGTTTATATTTTAACTCTCCCCTATTATGTTATTCTTTATTCATTTGTGTGACCATTTTCAATAATCTTTCTGCTGCTGTAAATTTGCACTTTGTGGAACAACAAAGGGATTTTCTATTCTATAAAAGGGGTAGAAAGATAGAAGTAAATCTAAACAATGTATGTATAAAAATATATCTGCAAAATCTCTAATATTCAACAACAAAAAATACTTAGTCAAGCATATTGTGCAAAACAGCAATAAAAAATTAAAATCCTATGAGATTTACAGTTTCCACACTGCAGATATATTAGAATCTGTCCTTAAATTCCAGCCAAACCCATTTACACAGTAACAGATTAAAACCTTTAGATAAATCAAACATTACCGCCACATATCTGACTCTATAACCATTAAAACAACTATTTTCATTCATTTCAGACGGAACTATTCACAGACTGGATTATATTAAACTCAACTTCCAATTTTCACCACTGTTCGGTGCCAAGTAATCTTTCCTCTGATCACGGCTTGCTTGGTCTCGCAATGAATCCTGGGATATCCAAGCATACCGAGGATACATCTGACCCATCCTTCAAATCGGGCAAAAAGAAGGACGCATTTTAAGGCCGCATAACGAGGAGTCTTGGAATCCGACCAGACCTCAGCGCCGCGCTATGACGTAATCTGCCTTCGAATCTGGTCTTCTAAGGACGCGTCCTAGGTTTTCGAGCTGATTAATCCAGGTGTGCCTGACCTCAGTAACCATGGCCTCACACACCTGGATTAATCAGTTCATCCAGTAGGAAAAGACAAAAAACAAAAGAGCTGCCTTAGGTTCAGGAAGTAGTTGAGTTGTGCATACTCTACGGCTGAATCCCAAACCGGACCCTAAATATTTACCCTCTGTTCCTATTGAGGCTCCGCCACATTAACGCCCGTCCCAAACCACTTAGTGGGCAGGGTGGGTGGTAGCCTGACGTAGTCCTACTCAATTCTAGTCAGAATATGAGTCTGATACTGCTCCATAGAGCTGTGATTATGGGGCGTGTTTTGAACGAACCAGGAAAAAAAATGCCTCTGCACTCAATTGGATAGACCTACAACCAATAAGAGCAACGGAGTGCGTGACGTATGTTAAGCGACGCATAGTTGTTGTCAACAAAAATCAAAGCGTGCAGTTACACGCCTAGAATAAAAGGATGAGCCTTGATCGCGTTTCTCTGTTCCTCTTTTAAAATTAATTTGCTGTCGATATCTTCTAGAACAGACCTAATAGCAGAATCTACAGACCTCAACTCTCCAGCGGCAGCCATTGTTGTTGTCACCCAAGCGCGCTTTGGTCACGTGGTTGATTACATTACTGTTGATCATCTGTATATCATCATCGTATAAGGCCCGCCCTGACAATTTGATTGGCCTGCCAGATATTGTGCTAGCATACTCGCGCTACTGTTGAGCAATGCCAGACCGAACTTCCCGACCTCAAACGTTGTGGGCGGGACTAAGTTCGGAATGGCACCCAGGCTAGGTGGGTGGACCATTCAGCCCTTAAATAGCAAGTCTGCATCAGTGTTAGCTTCCATTTTTTCCTACTGGGGTCAAGAGGGCTGCTGGCGCTTACCTCCAGCTGATTACGGGTGAGAGGCGGGGTCCACCCTGGACAGGCCGCCAGTCCATGGCAGGGCAACACAGAGACAAACAGGACAAACAACCATTCACACACACATCTAAGGAGCATCTAGAGAAACCAATTAACCTACATGTTTTTGGACTGTGGGAGGAAGCCGGAGTACCCAGAGAGAACCCAAGCATGCTCAGGGAGAACATGCAAACTCCATGCAGAAAGACTCTGTGAATCAAACCCAGAACCTTCTTGCTGCAAAGCAGCAGTGCTACCCACTCCCCCACTAAGCAGCCCCACAACCAGAACTTTAACTAACTACAAAAAAATAAATAAAATAAATAAAAAATAAACTTACAACCAGGAATTTAACTAACTACGAGAAAAAAAAAATATATATATATATATATAAACATTAAACTTACCACCAGGACTTTAAGGTTTTTATTACTTTTTTAGATGTTTGTAGGTTTCTGTGTTAAAAGAGGAGCAGGTCAAACATCTGACAGATTTATTACCAAACTAACCTACTGGAAATGAGGACCTGGACCTGCGCTGGCTGGCTGGACCGGTTCTCGTCCTGGTGGAGGAGATCCTGGTTTGACGTCTTCAGTTTCTCCAGCTTCTCCAAGAGAACTGGCCACAGCATCTCAGTGGGGTTCTGACGTGGGGAGCTTCTTCACTGCAGTCCAAATGTTCTGATCTCTTGGGGGTCATTTCCTAACTGCTCCTGGTTGGTTTTAAGGAGGTGCTTCTGGACCAATTCGATCTCAGTGGTTCTTTATGTTTCTGTTCTGCTGGTGGAACTGGGAAGATCCAGAAGTCTTATTTGGACCATCTTATTTTTTTGAACTAAACGAGCTGAACGTGTTCTCTTCTCTGTCTGTTCCAGGAAGTTCAACCAGAACTTTGTAGCCCAGCTCTGGTACTTCGTCAAGTGTATTTACTTCGGGTTATCTGCCTATCAGATCCGCTGCGGTTACCCGACCCGCATCCTCGGAAACGTCCTCACCAAGAAATACAACCACCTCAACCTGTTCCTCTTCCAAGGGTACGAACACAAAGAGCCGCCGAGTCGGACTCTCCTTGGCTTTGAATGACCGCTTGGTTTGTTTGTGGGTTTAGGTTTCGTCTTGTGCCGTTCCTGGTGGAGCTGCGGGCCGTGATGGACTGGGTTTGGACAGACACCACTCTGTCCCTGTCAGACTGGATGTGTGTGGAAGATATCTATGCCAACATCTTTATCATTAAATGCAGCCGGGAAACAGAAAAGGTACGAATGATGAGAAATATTACAGCAGGCTGTGATTCTTCTTAGAAATGATCCAAAAAAGGAAAAAGACAACAAAGTTAGGCTGATGGGACAAAGGAAAGAAGGCTTCACCTCCATTCCAAACATGATGACCGAAAATTAATAAACAATAAACAAGAAGGCATTTAATAAAAAGGACAAGAAGGATCCATTAAATCACGTCCGTTGAATTTAAATTACCATGAACACATGAAAGAAAGAAGCTGCAACCTAAACAGTCAGTCAGATGTCAACATTCAATTGGAATATGACCATTGGCCAGACATAAACATCACATTTGGCAGTTCTTTAAAGATAATCATCTTAAATTGCTCAATTAAAATGCATTTTTCAAACCTTCGATTCTCTCCTCCAGGTTTCCTCCACTGCTCTCAGCCACCGTTCCACTAGTCTCCCCAGCATGTTCTAGATTCTAGCTAGAAAAACAGCAGCGGTTTACAGATTAATTTAATGTTCCATTCACAATGAAAATACAGATTGTGAATGTTCAGCAATGCCTGTACACTCTAGACTAATTCTCATGTGTCATGACATCTTTAAAAGCAGAAAAATGTTTGCAATTCAAACTAGTTTACCTAGTTTTGCTTGCTATCACTATGTCCAGAGATTAGGACTTCTACATATTTGGTGACACAATGGTGAGCTTAGAAAAGGTCATGTCTTCTGACTTTTGACTTACCTGAGGCGTTAGTTTTTGCTCAAAGCGTCATCACCTGCGCCGCCGGTTGCGCCACAGAGGTTGCGCCACGCTATTTAATCGAAAACCACCGTAATTTGGTCAGGCTACCCGTAAGCACACAGCCTGCCAAATGTTGAAAAGGCAATATTATTACAATTACTGCTAATATATAATAGAAATGTAAACATTCAGTGATAAAATGTTACAGGTTATGGTATGGGGAGATTGTCGTTTAGGAAGGGGGAGGATTTTTAAGAAGGGGGATGCCTCTCCCTTCATCCCCCCTCAACTTGATTACTGCTTGTAAAGCCTTCATCAATATTCTCTCATGATTTTACACATAAACTTCATTTGACCTTTAAAAACATTTAAATTAGGTGGGAGTATGGCTCCTTATTAATGAGAAAAGAAACAGTAGAAAAGTCAGTGATGTTAATTTGAAAGTTTTGCATAAGACTGGTGTTTGAAAATGAATCATCTGATGTTCAAGGTGCACTTTAATGCATGATGAGGATTTCTGTGTTTTATAAAAATACATTCAATCATGTTTATTTTCTTAAAACCAATCACTGAATATCAACAATATTCTAAAGGCAATTCTTAAACAATATTGTCATGTTTTTGAGGCCCTCGCCCCTGACTCCAGTTTGGAGCTGGAAAAATCTCAAACAAAACTATTAGAATTTTTTTTTCACTTTCAAAACTTTTAGTTTCCAAATTCCATTCTGCTTTATTTTAGTTTCAATATATATTTTCCAACAACATTTTTTGACTTAATGGCCCATACAGGGGTTGACGTTAAGGATTTTTACCACTTGCCCTTTGGGCAAGTGATTTTCACATTTCATTTGCCCAGAAACAATTTTTACTTGCCCAGTATAATGTTTGATAAATATAGTTCCTAATATTCATTTTTGTATATATATCAATGAAACATGTTTGTTCTTTAAATGTAATTCAAAGGTTTCCAGGTTCCTGGTGTGTATCTGGATGCCTCAGATAATGAACTCAAGCCTACATTACTGTGTTAACATGCTTTTCAATCCTTCCTGCACATTCTTTTCAAACTAAACTTTGCTTTAAACTGTTGTGTGCTTAGAAAAATATAAATTGTAATGTTAAAAATCCCAAAAAAACTTGACAGGTTAAAAACTTAAGATAAATCACAAGACAGAAGTCAATGTCACAAATGAATCACTTTCATTTTAGAGTCACGGTATGTTTATACAAGATAATACTATTAATATAATCTGACTTTTCTAGAGAATCATTATACATAGTTATTTTTTACAGGGTTTCCACAGTTTTACATAATTTCAGAATTCCCTGACTTTTAACTGACTCAGGATTAGTTTTCCCTGACAAAATAAATGTAGCAACAAGACAATAATAATAACATAACAGGTCACCAATTTAACATGTTTAGCTCTATAACATTTAAATGCACCTCTCCAATGTCTGAGAGAAAAAAATTTAATGAAAATTTTTTATGGTATGACCTGCATTACTGTACAGAAGCTTTCTAGCTTGTTCGTCGTTTTGGTAACTACATCAAAATTACCGCTAGGTGGACAAAAATCACGCCATCTGGCGGAAAATCACCAGGCTTTTTCAAATCACGCGAGAATGTGTACAAAACAACAAAAATGGCGCCGGCAACGCTTCTGGGTCGTTTTCAGCGAATGTCTGTGATTTTAAAGTAATTTTGAGTGATAAATAATTTGCATTTGCCCGCCGGGCAAATGCAATGAAATTTGTACTCTCCCGACAATAAAAACTACTTCCCCGGGGAGATCAGGCGATGGTTAATATCGAGCCCTACCATATTTATCTCCATATAGTTAGATGTGTGAACACAATGATACATTCAATGACTGAATGCAGCTGCAGAATTCCTAAATTTGTTTTTAATCAGGATTTAACTCTAAAAGTTCCCGTTGGGTTTCTGTGCTCCTTCGTTCCATCGTTGCAGTTAAAATGATAAAATCATGAAATGTCTCATATTTTTATGATCTGTCTCCTTTTTCCAGAAATACCCCCAACCTAAGGGACAGAAGAAGAAGAAGATAGTGAAATACGGCATGGGGGGACTAATCATTTTCTTCCTAATCTGCATCATCTGGTTTCCCCTTCTCTTCATTTCATTGGTCAGATCGGTGGTGGGTGTGGTCAACCACCCCATCGACGTCACAGTCACTTTTAAACTGGGCGGCTATGAGGTAATTTGACATTTTTAGATCAATTGAAGTAAAGTTCTGCTGAATAAAGGGTGTTCTCAGTTAAAACCGAACAAAGTCTGTTTATAAGACGTGAAATTAAAAACGAAATGAGATCAGGTATTAAAGGTGGATCTGCAGGCTGGATGTTTGATCGGTCATCATTACCCTGAACACGACCTCTAACTGATGATGGATGGTTACCTGCTCGCCTTGAGCTCAACAGATTACTTCATAATTAAAGATATGATTCTTGATATTAAATATTTGATAATTAGATCCTTCACCCTGTCCCCCAAACCTGAACGCAGCCCGGTGTCCCGACAGAACCACTGATCCATCTCCTGAAGGTTTATTTTCAAAGCATAAAATGATTATTAATCTTTTCAATTCTTCCTTTTCTTCTCCTTTAAAGGAAAAGTCCTGTCAGTAAGGAATGATCAAGGGATCATTATTTATATCTAAACTAATACATTCGCAGTGATTTAATGAATTTAGCGTTAATCCCTGCAAAAACGATCTAGAAATAAGTCACAATGACTTAAATTAAGTGTATTTGCCCTCAATTTGCGTAGGTAAATAAGATGATTTGCCAATGGAATTAGGATTTTTACTCTAAATTAATTTGATGAGATACACTAGAAATAAGACAATAAAATTGTTTTTTACATATTTTAAATGTAAATTGTCTTGTTGCAACACACCCTCGATTCAAGAAAAAATTCACTTATTTTAAGATTAATTTAATTATCTAGATTTAGATTTTTTCCAGTGTAATTCAAAGACTTTAAAACCTCATTGGAGTCTAAAAAATGTGTCAGTAGATGAAGTGCTTTGTTTACCCATCATGCACCTGTGTGTTCCAGCCCCTGTTCACTATGAGCGTGCAGCAGCAGTCCATCAAGCCCTTCACAGCCGCCGAGTACGAGCAGCTCACCAAAACCTTCGGAGACAACGCAGTGCGTAGCGCCATCTTTATCTTTATTGAATGCTCTTCGCCGCTCGGTACCGGAGTGTCTCTGAATGTGGACCACTGAGGTCTGGGTGTGCTCGCTTTCAGAAAGCCATGCAGTTCATCACCCTGTACAGCTATGAGGACATCGTGACGGCCATGATTGAGGGCAGCTCAGGATCCGTGTGGAGGATCAGCCCCCCCAGTAGGCAGGAGGTGGTCAAGGAGCTTCTGGGAAGCCCTATGGACCTGACCCTCCGTCTGGCCTGGACCTTCCAGAGGTCAGACCTCTTCTTCTTCGTGTGTTTGACGTGTGCAGCTGTAGGTGGGACAGGTGGTTTAAACCCCACCCTCTCTGTGAATTTGTTCCCCCACAGGGACCTGGGTAAGGGGGGGACAGTGGAGCACACGTTTGGCAAACACTCGATCGACTTGGAGCCTGGGAACCCGGTCAGAGCAGAGCTGGCATCTCTGCTCATCGGCAACCGGACGGAGCCTGTGTAAGTGTGTGACCGTCCCACATAGAACGGATATCCTCAGGTTACAGATTCAGTCCTAATAGATCCGCCCCGTTCTTCCCGCAGCCTGGTTCCCAATATGTTCCCCAACTACATGCGGGCCCCAAATGGAGCCGATGCCAAACCCGTCAGTCAGCTCTACAAAGGTCAGAACTCTTCCTTTTTTACAATCTACATCTCTGGTTAAAGGCTTTGACCCCGAGAATAACAAAGCATTGAGGTCTGGTTATCCTCCCGCAGCAGAGCGTCGCAGTGAGCTTGTCAGATATTTTTGATTTATGCCCGATATTGAAGTGAGGTCTGTGCTATGTTATTCCACGCCGCAACGCAAGAGGGACAATCAGGAGCTAGCTGTGGGTCTAGATACGGCCGAGGCGGTGAGGAAGTGGGGGCAAGTTAGTGCGACAATGGAGGGACATGAGGGTGGGAAAGAGCGGAGATCCAGGTGGAAAAAGGGTCCCAGCGTTCTCACGCACCTCACTCTTCTAGCTGGTCCATCTTCATGAGTCGTTTTCCACAATGGCGGTCATACAAACAAAACAAGCCGGTAAGGTACTAAACAGGAAATATGCATAGAGTAGAGCAGATGTAGATTTGACCAATCAGAGGCCTCCTGTCTGCGGTCACCTAAAATTTTGGAGAGGTGCAGCAGAGTGTCTGCGGAAGGGGCGGAACCACATATGCATTCACTGCGACACACACGCAGACCACCTGGGTTCTGAGTATAAACCAGCCTTTAGACTGGAGAAGCAGTTTAAGACTTGGAAACCAGTAGATCTACTGGATCCACTGGTAGAAGGCCATGATGGATCTGAGTCAGATTAACATCAGCAGTGCGCTGACCATGATCTCTGCTGCCCCCCTGTGGTCTGTCCCAGATTAAGTAGGGCACACACTGTATGACTTTTTGCCATTTTCGGGCCGATTCTCCGGTCATGCGAGAATATTTTTTTATCGGGCCGACCATTCTAAAAAAAGTTTAAAAACAATCCACTGGACTTCCAAGTTTGAAGACGTTTCACTTCCCATCCAGAAAGGTTTTTCAATTCAAAATGTGAACCTGGATGACTGAGATTCTTCACCAGTGGATTGGGCCTCATGGTGCGTCCTGCGTGGCGTAGTGTACAGGGGATAACCAGGGGAAATCAGCCTCTAACAACCATCTCCCAATCAGGAATCCTAAGGTCAGGAAAAATCAAACATGTTTGAAATCCAGTCGGCCCTCCTGAGGTGTTCGTGGGTAAATCCTTCCGTTGATGCAGAGCTACGAGCCGATTTACCAGAACCTCGTACACTGCACATGTGCAAACAAGAGAGTTCTTCTTCTTCCAAGTTGATAAGTCCGACGAGCACCATCTCTCGGCGCTGAGTCCCACGTGGTTTTTAGACGTTCAGTGTGAGCAGGTAGATCGCATCAGAGCGCCGCGTCGCACAGTGTGAGAACAAACATCGTGAGCTGTGAACTTTTCAACCCTGCGTTTCATCGTACAGTTTGAGCTGTAGCTGGGTGCAACGATTGAAGATATCGTACATTGTATGCCTGGATTAAGTGGAGGATGTTTTATGTTGGAAAACAAATTAAACTTTTATATTTATGTTTCAAATACAAAAAAATCAACTTTATAAGAAATGTGAGAAAGAAAAAGCGTGAGTTTTGGTAGTTCTTGCTCTCAGAACATCTTTAACCTTCTGCAGATGATGAAGACGATTACCAGGACATCACTCTGTCCCTGATGAGTGACCGGACGCCAAACAGCTCAGGGAACCAGGAGTGGTGGGACATCGCCATCGCCAGATGCAAGCCGGCGTCATGCACCGTGCTCCCCATGGTCATATTCAACGACAAGGTTAGCCCGCCGAGCCTGGGCTTCCTGGCCGGATACGGGTAAGAGCCGCGCCGTCTCCCAACTTCTGATTCACAGGATGCTTCCTTCCTCCTGCACAGAAAAACAATCTGATAGTAGACAGACAATAAGAAAGAGCTGCAGGAAAATCCATCTGCCAGCTTTTTCCAAAGATTAGAGCCAAGAAAATAAAGGATTTAATTTAAACAAAGAGGTCTGGTTCAGAAGTCCAGGAGGACATGTCTGATAAACCAAACCCTTTATTACTATAGAACAGCAGAGAACATCAGACTGAAGCATGGTGGTGGCAGCATCATGCTGCTGGTTTCACTTCTTAAGATGCAGTTGATGGAGGACTTTCTTAAAGGAATAGTACACCCAAAACATGATTAGCCTTCATTTTCTACTCACCCCCATGCTGAACAACACTCTGGAGTACTTTTTTGATATCTCAAATGCATCTGGAGATCTGGGAGGCTTCTTGCTGTCTGCTGACATTCAAATAATGGAGGTCTATGGTGCCCGAGGCAGAAAGGTCCATAAAAGTCCACAAAAAACGTGTCAATATTCCTCCATACTGCTCGTCCAATGGGTAGCATCCATAATTTACTCGAAACGAAGTCATTTAGAATGTTTTTAGAGCATAAACAGTAGTTTATAGGATTTCCTAAAAGGGCGTTCACGACTCTACGGAAGCCGGCAGACCAAACCAGATGAAAGTGTGCATTCAGCTCGGCAAAGAACTCATGCTCTTCCTCAACACTGAAGTCCTCAGACATTTTTCTTTCGTTGTTTCTTTCTTTGCACAGGTAAACAGCACATTTCTTCTTCTACGCTTGCATTATCGGCAGAGCAGAAGCTGAATGCGCACTTTCATCTGGTTTGGTCTGCCGGCTTCCGTAGCGTCGTGATCGCGCAGGCGCGCGCTTTCAGGAAGTCCTATACACTACTGTTTATGCTCTAAAAACATTCTAAATGACTTCGTTTCGAGTAAATTCTGGATGCTACCCACTCAGGACACTTGGAATACATTGGACGAGCAGTATGGAGGAATATTGACACGTTTTTTGTGGACTTTTATGGACCTTTCTGTCTCGGTCACCATAGACCTCCATTATTTGAATGTCAGCAGACAGCAAGAAGCCTCCCAGATCTCCAGATGCATTTGAGATATCAAAAAAGTACTCCAGAGTGTTGTTCAGCATGGGGGTGAGTAGAAAATGAAGGCTAATCATGTTTTGGGTGTACTATTCCTTTAATGCTTCCAGAAATCAGGACAGTCTTGAACGGGATCATTTCTGGAGATTGTTTTCTGATTAAAGGTCATAGCTAAAACTTTTCATTCAAACTATTTTTCAAAAATAATCTATCCACAGAATATCACAGAAAAGATCTCGGGCAGAGGTCACAGATTAGCGGACCACGGACCAGATCTGGAGCCACCTGCTGGCTTATCTTAGACCCAACCTGATTTAAAACATTTATAAATTACTGCATGTTGTCTGACTACAGTGTCTAACTTCACTTGCGCCTCTTCTCCTGTTAATACGGTAAAGCCCTCCAGAGCGTCCGGCTCCAGGCTGCATGTGACACAAATGATCCAATGAGCTGCTGTCAGTCTGGGTTGCTGCTGCTGCTACTTTTAGACACAGCAGGCAAACCTGTGGCAAGCCGGGCGATGGGAAAGAAGGTGAAGATGATGAGAAAAAGAGAGCAGAGAAAGTGTGGACTGCTGGAAGAACTGTGGTGAACTGGTGAAAGAAAAGTGAAATGGTGCTCAAAGATGATCCTGCACATTTAGAGGATGTTTGGCTCAACCTGCTGCTGTGAAGCAGGATTCTCCACCATGAACAGAATCAACAATAAATATGGATCCAGGCTCAGAATGAGCTCCTTGATATGTGCTTTAGAATGACTTAGTCTCCATTCAAACCAGGTTTAAAGCCTTGCAGGGCAGCATAAAGCCCACTGCCAACATTGAGGCAGAAAAACGAAAGAAAATAAGAAACAGTTTGTGGATTGTTTACCAGGAAATAGTCTATACTAAACTGAACGAACACTTTAGATTTTAATATGGAAAAATTTTCTTTTTATTTCTATTTAAAAAGTCAATGTATAACATGGATGCATAATTATAATGTATATAATATTAAATTCTGTTTAAAGTAACGGATTCTAATTAAAAAATGTTTTAGGACCTTAATTGTTGATGATTTTCTTTATTTGGACCCCGCTGATTTTTAATTGGTTACCCCTGATCTACGGTATGGAAATAATTGTGTTGTGAAATCTAAACATGTTTACTTATGGTTACCATGCCAACGTCAGGACCAATAGGACGAGTAGATTAAAGTCACAGTCTGCAAAATCGCTGTTCCCTCTGACCTATCACAGCGCAGGAGGCGGAGCTTATCCATGTGTGACTCTCAGTGCCAGAATTACCCATAATGCAGCGGCACGTTTCTGCTAGCATAGCAGAAATAATTCAATCAAATATTACAAATGTTCTTAAATAATGGAAAGCAAAATTATGTCCCACGTATAAGAATGGTTTCTACATATTTAAAAAATATTGGTATAAAAATTCACAATTTCATCATCAAAAGGAATTTTTGTTTTTAGTATAAAATTTATTATACATGCAAAAAACTGAAACAAAGAAATACTCCTGGAGGCCCTAAAACCAATCAATAGGAAATAAACAACTTAAAAGCTGAAACATGTTTGAGTGATTAAAGATGGCTCCCTGACCTCTGCTCTCCTCCAGGATCATGGGTCTCTACGTGTCCGTGGTTCTGGTCATCGGGAAGTTCGTCCGTGGGTTCTTCAGTGAGATCTCCCACTCCATCATGTTCGAGGAGCTGCCCTGCGTGGACCGGATCCTGAAGCTCTGCACAGACATCTTCCTGGTTAGTGTGGATCGGCGCCAGCAGCTGAAACCGTTTTAAACAGAACATCAGACCAAACCGGTCCAGTTTGGTCCCACCAGAAAGTCACGCTTTTGATCCCTCAGATTCAAAGGTTTACAAATGCTGAGGTCACTAGAGAACATGGGACTTCTGGTGCGGTTCCCCCCCGGGGTCCAGAAGGTTCTGCATTTATGTGTGGATGTCCCTCCATCGAAGGTCTGCTGTGATGGGCAGAGCTGTTTGTTTCTGATTGGAAATAAAACCAAAAAAGAATTTGAAACATTAATTATTCATTAATTCATGTTAAAAAACTCTTCATCGCAGCAGGCATCTTCTGTGGACGGTCTTTAGCTCCCTCTCAGGTCCGAGTTGGGTTCTGGTTTGGAGCGAGTCGCTCACACAGTTGGACCTTCGCTGTAGTTTAAGAATCGAATCTATGGAGTGAAGTTTGTTAAATTATTGTTGCAACCAAAGAACATGTTTTGTATGGATAAATAAATCCAAAACTTTGTAAAATATATTCATCAAACGAAGGTTTTAGAAGGAACATTGCTGTTTTTTTCCATTTTTACTTTATTTTACATTTTCCAAATATTTCCCTCATGTTAAATTTTTTTTTCATATTTGTTTTTTCTTTTTTTCAAATATAACTTTTCCAGACTGATTCTCATAAACTGCATTTTATTCTAACTGAGTTCTACAGATCACATTGTCTTCTCTTGAGGCGGGCTTTCCTCTGGAGTAGGAGGTGAAGATGTATTTCTATTGGTCTGCTGGACGTTAGCAGCAACATTTTTATTGGCCGAGAGCGAGAGCTAAGATCGAGCTTGAAAAGAAGAGAATGTAAAGTGTAATTTGGAAGGATAAAATCCATAAAACTCAATATGAAGAAGAGAAAGAAACAAAAAATGTGGAAAATAAAATCTAAAATAATGAAATACAAAAAAAAAAAAAAATTTAAATCTGAAAATACAGTTTCCTTTCTAGATTTTTTCATATTTTCGTTTACAAAATCTTTTTATAGTTGCAACAATAATGGATCAAACTTCACTCCATAGAGCTAAAGAGGAAGGCTTTATTCTGTGGTTGGTTGCGGTCCAAATAACTGCTTTCTGTGTGTGAAGGTTCGGGAAACAGGAGAGCTGGAGCTGGAGGAGGAGCTCTACTCCAAGCTAATCTTCCTCTATCGGTCTCCAGAGACGATGATCAAATGGACCCGAGACATCCACCTCAAGGAGCAGGACTGACCCGATTGGCCGCCGGAGGCTGCGGCTTGGCAGGCGTGGGACCTGAACGCTCTCCTCATGCTGGACTTTTTGTGTTTTTGCTGCTGCTGATCCGACCGGACTCGGCACCGTGCCGTCGGAGCGAGGCCTGACGGCTGGACTCCTGTTGGAGCTTTGAACTGGGCTGTGTTTGTAGAACCAGCAGCTATTGGGGCGGTACCTGCTGGGGGAACTGGCTGCTGCTCACATGACCACCTCCAGCCCAGAGGGGGTCAGAGGTCCCTGGAAAACATGTGTTAAATATAAGATGGCTCCATGAAGATCCCAGAGCTTCATCAGCTGCAGAGCAGCCTTCCTCCATCTAGGTGGTCTAGGTCTAGGTGGCCTCGAGCAAACCTCAGACTACACTAGGTTCCAATTTCCTATAAAAAACTGGACTGAAGAATCATAAAGATGAAATGTTTTGGTTTTCAGTTTAACTCATTGACCTCAGTCACCTGGACGATCAACTTAAGGAAAACTTTACGTTCCACATTTTTCAGCAGGTTTCAAACAATACGGGGAAGAAAAAGGATCATCACTGTTAGAAATAGTGCTGTGGTTTGGAGAAGGGATGAAAACTTTGAATATTTCACTCCAACTGAAGCATCAGAGTCGTGATCAGAGGCTTATCAGGACCAGCGACGGGTTCAAACAGAAGAATTCATCAGATTTAGGGAGCAGCTGCTAAATCACCGTTTAAATTAGCAAACTGCCAGAGTCCAACCGACTGAACGGGTTCTGACCAATAGAAACGCTGTTGCTAGGTCCAAACAGAGCAGACTCATTTCTATTGGTCCACGCAGAGACCAATCAGAAGGCTAGAGGGGGAAACTCTGAGAAGAATCCAGTTTGTAAAACTCTGCATTCGGCTTCACCTGCCACAAAAGGCAAACAAATAAAATAATAATTATATTTGTTTGGAATTTGGAAGATAAAATCTGAAAACGAAGAAATGGAAACGTTTTATAAATAAAGAATTATGAAAAAAAATTATGGATAAATATAATTTGGAAAATAAAATCTGGAGAAAAAAGTACATAAAAAAAACTCCTCTAAAAATCAACGGTTAAACTTATGCATATATGTTCTAAATTACTCTGAAACATTTGTTGATTGTGAAATCTTTCATTTCTAAAACACATAATCCTCAAAATTCTTTTTATATCTCTGCTTTCAATACAATTGGATGGGATTTCTCTGTGTAGCATCGTTAGCATAGAGCGAGTCGGTCCGTGTAGCCTTCCCTCCCTGCTGCCGTGGCGCCGTACCTTCTGTGGAGCGATCATCCTCATGCTGGACGCAGCGTCGCCTCGGCCTGCAGAGAACACCTCTGTGCTCAGAAACAGAGAAACTCGTGGTGCCTTCAGGGCCCCACTGGGCTCCAGGTCAATCTGATCTCATCTCATATGCAAATGGAATTGTAATTTTGATATTAACACTATTGTAACATAAAAAGCTTTTTTAACAATTAAAGTTACATCTGTTTATTTATTTAAGGACGGAAATAAAAACTTATGGGAGTTTGCTAAACATGCAGCATAAAAATTCAAGCTAATTGATTAATAGCAGGAACTAAAACACAAGCCTTCCATGAAATGAATCAGTTTTCATCTATGGTTGGATTATAATCTCAAAGACAGATTAATATAATTCTATGCAAAGATCTGTTTCTAATCCAGTGGTGCAAACTGCTCCTCTCTCCTTCTTTTCTCTGCATGAGAAGAATAACAGTGAAAATAATGGAGGTGTAATGATGGGTCCATGTAGGGCCTGTTTGCTGCTCGGTCCGGTTCTGTCTCTGCCGGGCTGCTGGGTCACACTGACCTTTGACCTTTACTATTCATCTTTCTTTCCAGCATCATCGCCATCTTCCCTGTCTCCTTTCTCTGCTGATCTTTTTCTGTTTTGTAACATTGGGAGGGGCTGTTAGTACCCCCCCACCACCACGGCCTTCACCCTTACAGGACCTTTGGAGGACCTGCTTGGGGGGTAAAAACTCACATCTTCATCAAGGTGTTTCATTTAAGTTGATAATCGATGCTGCAAATACACTTGTTTTGATGCTCAATTCTGCATAATCTTTTCAAATCATGTGTTTTTACCTTTTTTTTATTTAAATAAAAAAAATACTGTAATAATTGGAAAGTTTGATCAATAAAACTGGATTTCTGCTCCTAACGAGTGACGATGTGGAAATAATCCAGTGTGTCAGACAGTCAGAAATCCTGAACCAACAGTTTCAAGGTTCTGCCTGGTTTCCCTGATAGTCGCCATGTTGAGATGAAGAAGGACTGGATGATGATGATGGGGAAGAAACGGACCTCTCTGGTGGATCAGCCACCGGCTGCCTCACTAACTGCCTATAAAGCTCAGGCTCGGTTCTTTCTGTTGGCCCATAGGAACCATGAGCTGTACTTCCTGTCACTGTGTAATCTTTTCTATTTCTGTAAACAATAAAGGGATCTTTGAAGATGCAGTAGAACCAAGCTGGTGCCCATATGGGATCACAGCCCTGATCTACGCTCCCAGCATCACCTCCAGTCCTTCGTGGAGGACACGGCTGTTTGCTGAAAATGATGCTGAATCACGTATTTGATGCATAAAGATGCTGGAGAAGATTTCTCTAAACCCCACAGAGACTCTTCTAAACAGTGGCGGTTCTAGACCAAATGTACCAGGGGGCCAGGAGGGGGCCAGCGAGTTTTCATGGGGAACAGAAAAGCATGAAATAATAAAAAGGGCAAAGGATTCAAATATATTGAGAGAGCTGCATGAAATGAAATTTCTATTCAATAAGGTTTAATTAAAATTAGGTCAATATACATTCATAATTTAGGAATTTCATATATTTTTGACTTAATTTAAGATTAAAGTGACCTTTTTCTAAAAAAAATCTGAATTTTTGTTTTGAAAAAAAAAACATTTAGATGAAAACTAGGATCCTATCTTAATACCACTGAAGCTATTGCCTTGTTGTTTTTAAATAATTAGTAAAATAGAATTTGTAAAGATAAAAAATAAAATAGATTCAAAGCAAGATCAGTAATCATGTCTTTTCCAGCGCATTTCATCCTTAGAACTTCTTTGAGTATTATGTCTTCAGTACGGGGGCCATAACGGGCCAGGACATGATCTACAGGGGCAATGGTCCCCGTTGGCCCCTGTCTAGAACCGCCCATGCTTCTAAACCCAGAGGATGAGTCGGTGTGTCCATGCAGATTCAACAGGAAGCAAAGGATAGGAGGCCGCAGCATTTCAGATCAGCTAAAGATTTTTTTACTACAGTTTGTGGATCTCAGATAATAAAGTAAAAAATCTTTTTGTTTTTGATCAGGACCTGGAATTTAAATCCCATATCAAATAGGTTTCTAGAATTTCCTTCTTTCATCTCCAGAATATTGCAATAATTGGATCTTCTCTCTTTCATCCCTGTAAGGGAAAAACTGGCTCTGAGCTCCTCTGATTACCCGGTTCTTTCGCAGACAGAGTCGCCTGTGGAGCTGGTTTACTCTTATCCTATTCTAACATAGAAAGTATTTCTATGTTAGTGTGTTCATTTTTCATGTCTCATTCTGTCTCATTGAACCACAGTCAGCCTCAGCAGAACGCGTCTCATACTGAGCCTGGTTCTCTCCACTGTCACTGCATACATGCCTTGTGTGAGGGATTGCTGTTTGAGTTAACAACATGCAAGCAACCATCGTCACCACAATCTGATCTAGGAGGGGAGAGAGGATTTGATGCAATCAGCTGGTTTTCCTTTGAAGCTTAAATCCTGAGCTATCTCTATAGTTATGCTGCTATAGGCTTAGACTGCTGGAGGACATAGGGACCCTCATTTCATCATTCTGCTTTATTCTATCTCTATTCTTCCACTCTGCAGAATCTGTTAGTTCAATCTCTAATGTTCTGCTCTCTCTGCTTTTTCTCATAGTAGCTTCCTCTGGTCTGTTCCTGTTTGGCTGTGACTCCATCCTGGAGAGAAATATCAGCTGTGCTGCTGCCATCAATGCCTTTTTGTTTATAGATGTTTGAGAACGGCCTGTTTTCCAGTGTAGTCCTGTTTCTCTAACTGTGACTAACTGGATGTGCTCTCTTCATCCTCTGACATGGGAGCTGGTTCAGAGCTCGTCTACCTGGCTGTGTGTTTCCTGGACGGGGCAGCCTTTTACAGCTGCTTTTTCTATCTCTGCTTCTGTCTCCTTGAACCCCAGTCGGCCTCAGCAGATGGCCGCTCACACCGAGCCTGGTTCTGCTGGAGGTTTCTTCCTGTTAAAAGGGAGTTTTTCCTCTCCACTGTCGCTACAAGCATGCTTGGTGTAAGGGATTGCTGAAGAGTCAATGAGTCGATGCAATGAACTGGTTTTCCTTAGATAGAAAACTTTGAATTAATTTGACTGAATGATCTGATTAACTGTAAAGTGCCTGAGATGACATGTGTTGTGAATAGGTGCTATACAAATAGCAGTATTACCATGAGGCAATACTAGGCAGTTGCCTAGGGCCAAAAGTTCCTGGGGGCCCCATAAAAATCTGATTACATCTATGGTTAATACAGCTATTTCTTATTTTTGCACATTATGTTTTTGAGAAAATTCCTTTTCGCTAAAATGCCATCAGAACGATTATAATATTCAGTGTGTCTCAGCCCCCCTCCTTCAGTGTCCACCATATTGGATCAGTTCATTTGAAAACAAACGATGCGTAGAGCAGTGTTGCCAATTTAGCGCTTTTGTCGCTATATTTAGCAACTCTTCAGACCCCTCTAGCACTTTGATTTAAAAAAAAGCAGCTAGTGCTAAATCTAGCGACTTTCTGCTGCTACTGGAGACTTTGGAGACAACATCTAAAAGCAGCGAACTCTGCTCTCCAGAGCCAGTAGATTGGTAACCCCGCCTCCTGCTCTCCTCTATCTTGTCTGCTGTCATGATTCATGCAGCTATTATTTCATCCAAATGAAAAATGGAGAACAGATCAGCAGATCATGGCTTGTCTACAGTGAAAAGAAGGACTGGGTTATTTACTTTGGCCTTTTTGGAAACACAGGAAGGAGCAATCAGCTAAGTGAGCTTAGTGCTTGGAAATAATCTTTCATTCCTTTAGAGACAGCATGAAAAGTCAGCTGAGTAAAAAACATAGAGAGGAAAACAAGAAGAAAAGGGACAAGAAGAGAGGGACACAACCTAGAACAGATAATGGATGTCTATTCTATTAACATTTCTCTATCTGTAGAATGGGTCTGTTTTATGTGTTGTCTTCTCAATTCAGAGGGCTCCCTATATCCTAAATCCATCCCTGGTCACACATGAAACTAGATGGATACCAATGAAATACCAACAGTGTGAACTCATCACATCCATTAAGGCCAGCTGGTGTTTAAAATCTACGACTACGCCTCCGTCCCGCTACCCACTGTGGGGCTTTCCTACCTTTAAAAACCAACATGGCAACAACAACAAAAACTTGGTAGGAATGTAAGCAAAGAGACTCTTTAATAAAAACTACAAAAAAAAAAATCAACAGTCCTGATGGAGGCCATCAGTTCAACACATCTGATGCATATTAGTGTCAAAATGTCCTCCCCTGCTGGTGGGAAACCAGTCCTCTGAATTGAGGTGATTACAGAGATCAAAGTTGCTGTTCTACTCCAGCTCCACCAGCAGGTCTCCCTCTCCCACCGTCTCTCCTGCCTTGCAGTGGACACTCTTCACCTGGAAGCAGAAGCAGTCAGAGTTTTCTTCTCCAATAAAAGGATCTGGACAAGGTCTTTAAAAAAAAAAAAAAAAAAAAACCTTACAATGTAACTTCATGAACTGGTTCTACTAGATTTCCATCTCTGGACATTCATTATAGTAGGGTGACCATACTTTCATTTGGGAAAACCAGGACAACTTGGAGTGGGGGGGGGGGGGGGGGGGGGGGGGGATTCTGTTCCCATGCATAGAGATGTCTGTGACATGCACTTACTTAACATAGACCTATGTAATCCTACAATAACATGATATTTACAGTTGATTTATTAAAAATGCTTTTCAGTAAAAGTCAACAGCAATAAATACAATAACAGATTATAATTTTATTCAAAATATATTTATTAAAAAACGCTTAACAATTCCTGTAATGAATGAATAGCACAATGAAAGAAATAAGAGGCGTTTCTCAATTCACGAGAACGCGAGTACGTACTCGCGTTCTCGTCAAGTCCGTTCTTGGCGAGAACGCAGGAAGATCGGACTTGACGAGAACGCGAGCACGCAAGCACATATGTGTATTGGAGCAGAAGCGTACTCGTGACGTCATCACAGGCAACGTTGTTTAGCATTTCTTTAACAGTCAAAACTATTTATTCCCTACACAAAACATTTTGAAAACAATATTTTTAATTTCTAAAGCTTAAAAAACTTTTTAAAAATTACCGAACCGCAAAAAACCGCCATCAGAACGAGCGGTAGTTCACACATAACTAGACCGAG